CTGCAGAAGCTTTTGCTAAAAATGATCGCAAAGGTTTGTACTTTTTGCCATCAAATTTCACTCCATGAATATTGTTTTAATTGTTTTTAGTTTTTTTATGTATAATTTACATGTTCATTCGATGAGCTTGAAGCATAGATGTTGCAAGGACATAAATTACAGGTATTTTTAGTTATACTGCAAAAGTGCAAAGATAACAAGTTCAAATGAGGACACCAAACTAAGAATTTCATCTACATCAAATAAAAAAAATTACAAAAATGATGAAATTTTTTGTATGTGAACGATTTGTTATTATTAAATTATGAATTGGAGATAATGGTTTCGCTTTTTTGGCTTTTAGTATTTGCATGTATTGTTTCTATTTCATGTAAAAGATCTACACTTCTTTTATGTTATGTTTATTGGTGATATTTCTATATTCTTTTATATGATGTATTATGGTTAATATGATAGGTAAAATCAGAAGTTTGATAAACAAGAGGAGCAATTATACAAAGTTCGAGGTCAATCAAGTTTCATGTTTCTTCTCCAACACATATCAAGTTCGATAGTATTATGGTTTAAGTACTAGTACAACATTTAGACTTATTAAACTTTTGAGAAGACGCTTGTATTTTAAATATATTGAGAATGTTGTTCTTAGACAAGTTTAAAATGATGTAATGATATTGTGTTTTCATTTATTATCTTAGTTATCTTATTATTATTTTATATTATCATTAAAATTAAAAAAAATCGGACCTAATTTATTAAAATATTTTTTGTTAAAAAATGTTTATGAAATCATAAAAACAATATTTATTTTGGAAGTTAAATAGTGACATAAAAATATTGCCACTAAAACCCAATAAGGCTGCAGCGACATAACCAAAAAGTGCCACTAAAGGCCTTTAGTGGCAACACTTCTAGTGACACTTTTTTTTGTGCCGCTGATTGTCTAGGGGGGCTTTAGTGACACGTTTTTGGTTTTTAGTGACACTTTTTCTGTGCCACTAAATGTCGTTTTATTTGTAGTGCTCCTTTTACGCCTTAAACCCACTCTCTCTCAGATTCTCACTGACTTGATCGTCGGAGCCTCGTTCCAGGACAACCTCCCGGATGACGAATGACGGTCTCATCTTCTTTGTTGTGGTCCACAGGCTTTTCATTTCCACCCTCGCAAAGACGGAGTTAATCTGGTGACATATCACAATAGTTGGCGCCATCCGGACGTGCACCTAGTGCGACATAACCCGATAAACAACAACATGTGCCTACAATGATGAGCACACACACTACGCCGAAGCAACACGACAACATCGGGCCATACGGCGTTGTCACACGCAGTATGACAACCATCAGGTGCCAATCGATTAATTCCCTAGTAAATGAAGCGCCGGCACCAGACACACAACGAAATCAAGACAAAGTGTTCACGGTTAATAGGTCATGCAAGAAACGAGAACAAACTCGAGAAAACCACGACGTGTAAGCGCTGTACCGACGTGTCAACAATATTAACTTTTCGCCAGACGACCTGAGACCGACAGAGCGGGATACCAGAGACACAATTCTCATAGCCGCATGCATAAGGCACAAGCAAATCCACCGCGTCTACATAGATAATGGCAGTAGCCCAAACATCTTATACGAAAATTGCTTCCGACAATTACCAGAGTCATGGAAGAAAGAGTTGAATCCCCCAGCAGGTGGACCCCTGGTCTGCTTCACGGGGCATAGTCTATGGCCTATCGGCACAATACATCTCCCACTGATGCTATTCAGCCACGACGGGAGAGAGACCAAAACAAGAACAATCGAATTATCTGTAATCTGTCACCCAGCGGAACAAAATATACTGTTAGGGCGTCCAACACTCTACGAGATACAGGCCGTGCCGTCAACAATTCACGACACAATCAAATTCGGCACAAGGACCATATCAGTAACCATCGTCATCGATGCTCGTACAGATGGACGTGTCATCAAATCATGGCGGCGGCGGACCTGGTCAGCGCCCCCAAAAAATGAAAAGAAGACCACCCGGTAGAAAAGCATGTCATACACAATGAACACCCCGAACAAGTAATAAAGATCGGAGCTAAGCTATTGGCGGAAACCAAAGCCCAATTAATCGCGCTGCTAACACGGTTCACCGGGGTCTTCGCATGGCAACCCGCAGATATGATAGTTGTAGACCGAGGGATCATCGAACACAACCTTAACATCTTACCGGTCAACGCTCCGATTAAACAAGAAAGTAGTGGGCAGGCGTGTGATAGAAACAAAGCGATTAATGAAGAAGCTTCGAAGCTCATGATTGCGGGCATTCTCCGAGAAGAAATGTTCCCCACATGGATTGCAAACCCGGTAATGGTAAAGAAGCATGATGGCTCATGGAAGATGTACATTGACTATTCCGATTTGAACTACGCATGCCTAAAAGACCACTACCCCCTCCCCAAAATCAACCAAAAGTTCGAATCCCTGGAAGGTTTCCAACTCAAATGCTTTCTTGACGCCTACAAAGGCTACCACCAAGTCCAGATGCGGCGGGAAGACGAGGAAAATACAGATTTCCACACCGATCGAGGCACATTTTGCTACCGGAAGATGCCATTCGGCCTTAAGAACGTCGGGCAACATATCAGGTCCTAATGGATAAAGTCTACGCAGAACAAATCGGCAAGAATATAGAGGTCTATGTCGACGACATGGTCGTTAAAAGTCACAGTGAAGCAACATTGCTCTGCGACGTGGAAGATACCCTCAGACACTAACACAAGCTCAGATGAAGCTTAACCTGGGAAAGTGCACTTTCAAAGTAGAAGAGGGCCAGTTCCTAGGATACCAGATAACCAAAGATGGAATCAAGCCAAATCAAGTCAAAATCCGGGAATTCCTCAACTCCAAGATCCCGCATAGTATAAAAGGAGTCCAAGAAATCAACACGAGGCTAACCGTGCTAGGCAGGTTTGTCTCCAAGTCAGCAGAAAAAGCCCTACCACTCTTCCAAACTTTGAAAGAATGTGTCGATAAGAACCACTTCAAATGGATGAAGGAGGCTGACGCAGTCATTCAATGCTTAAAGGGGGCCCTACGTTAGTTGCCAACAATGGCAAGCCCCCTCCCAGGCGAAACCCTACAACTATATCTCGCGGCTGCTAATGAAGCCATCTCGCCGGTTCCGGCAGTAGAGTGAAACAAGAAGCAGTCGCCGATACATTTCGTGAGCAAGGCACTGCAAGGTCCCGAGACCAATTACCCCATCTTGGAAAAACTAGTATTAGCACTAATCTACATGGCCATACGCCTACAACGCTACTTTCAGGCGCAAAAAATGGAAGTCCTAACCAGCCACCCGATAAAACAAGTCGTACTGCGACCCGAAAAGTCAGGACGACTGGCAAAATGGGCAATAGAGCTGGGGGAAGACGACATAGAATACTAACCACGAACCAGTATCAAGGTCTGGGCCTTAGCAGACTTCCTGGTAGAAATACCAGAAAACATTTAGGGGAATACCAAAGGCCTTACCTGCAGACCCGTTGGAGCCCGGGGGGATTAAAGTTCCTCTTAGTCGCAGTCGACTACTTTACGAAGTGGATTGAAGCAGAGCCTTTGGCCACAATCACGGGCAAACAGATGATCAGATTCATGTGGAAGAACATCCTGACTTGGTTTGGAACTCCCAGGGTCCTGATAAGTGACAACGGCACCCAGTTTGGGGGTAGCCCCTTCAAAGAATGGTGCGAGGAGAAGCAAATCCATCGTCGCTTTACCTTAGTCACGCACCAAGGAAAACGGACAAACCAAAATATCAAATAAGACCATCATGAACGGACTTAAAAAACGCCTAATGAAAATAAAGGAGGCCTGGACCGAAGAGCTGCCAACGATGTTGTGGTCATTCCGCACCACCGAGAGGTCAGGAACTGGAGAAACACCCTTCAGTCTAACATACGGCATGGAAGCGGTGATCCCGCTCGAGATTTGGAGCGAATCCCTACGGGTGATGAACTTTGACACAAACGTGAACGAGGAAGAGCGACGAAAAGACCTGAATATTCTAGAAGAGAAGTGTCAGGCAACACAGTTGCGACAAGCAACCTAAAAAGTCCGAACGAAAAACTTCTACAATAAATGGGTGCGAGTAAAAAACTTCAAAATCGTAGAATGGGTGCTGAAAACGAACGAGACAGCCACTCGGAAACACTGGGCAAGCTGAGCGCGACCTGGGAAGGCCCGTACATAGTAGTTGAGATGCACCGAGACGGAGCGTATACACTGGAAGCACAAGACGGAAGACCAATACCCCGAACATGGACACATGCAACCTACGCCACTTTTACTTATAAAATAACTGGTGAATAGCATAGCAAAAACAAAAAAGGAGGGACAGTGTCGCCCAAACTTTTAGCCTCAGGGCTGCACCGAAGTCAAAGTGGCAACACGTAAACCTTCGAGATTTTCTCCAAGCACTTTCTAATTAGCAAAGTCTTGCAAACATAAAAACCAAAAACAAAAAAGCAGGGTTGCACAAATCCGCCAAACGAAATCATAGGCCGATCACCCATACCGTGTAGGCGGACCAAATCGCCAACATGAAACCACAAATCTCGAAAGGAGATGATTCCTCAGGGGCACGTCGGTTCGGCCAAGCAACAAGGCCTCTAAGCTCTCGAACCAGACGTATTCAAAGGGTTGAAGGATCATAGCCTTCCCCTAAAAATAAAAATCTAACAGACGCGGGTCCAGGGAGCCTCAAGGTAACGACCTCGGCTCACTTTAGGCGACCACAAAAGGAAGGTAGTAGGTCACCCGGCTCAAGGCCAAAGTCCAGGCCTATAAAATACCCTCTGAGGAGACGATTTCCCGAAACAAACGCAAACATGATGATATTTCAAAAACATACAAACATTAAACACTGAAAGCATCTTGTGGTGTCGAACAAACAACAAAACACATCAAGCATACAAAAAACGTCCCGTTAAACACTAACCCTAACAAGACTGCGTTCACATGCTGCCCTCAACGTCATCGTCTGGAACAACCTCCTCATTCTCAGAACACAATTGGCAGATATTAGCAAGACCAAGCTCTCCCAGCCTGAGATAAGATGCGAAGTCTGTCTCAGCGAAAGCCCTAATGGCAGCGTGCATGGCGTCAGTAAACCGAGCCACAACGCCCGATTCGGATGGGCCGGAGCCGCTACCAGAGGACAACACCAACACCGCCTGTTTTCCCCTCTCCACACCAACAGCCACACACACGGCCTTCACGCGGCGAATCCCAAGTGTAAACTCACTGCTCTCGACAACACGGTCCACTATGCGGACCACCCCCTTTTGAAGAACCCAAGACAAATGGTCTCCAGGAATTTCCTCCTCGATACCTCGGCTGTGAGCTCACTTCCTCGCAGCGCCAAACGTTCCATTAATGCCGTTTTCTCCATCGCCAAATCTTGGACATGCAGAGATAGGTGGTTGACCTCCCATCCAGAGTCGCCGCCTGAGCCTCAACAGCTGTCTTCTCCCCAGATAGCACAAGGTAGCTTTCATGGAACTTAGGCCACTCCTCCTTGAGGAGCCATACCTTCTTCCCGAGCTCGTCGCTCTCTGATTTTACGATAGCGAACTCCGCCCGGTCAGCCCCGATGTAACGGAGACGACCGTCAGCCACCACCAAATAAGGAGCCACCTAAGCAGTGGCGTACTGAAGATCATCCTCCATATAAGAATTAGAAAGGGCATCAAGTGCCTCCAGGGTAGCAGAAGGAAATGCATGATGACACCATTCACTAGCAGAACCCTGTTCCGATAGAAGAGAACTGGGTGTAAGGCTCCACCCTAGGAGATACACACCAGGGGTGCCCGAAGAGGAAGGCCCTACCTTTGACAGGATGTCATCCTAGGCTGAGGGTGAGGTAGAGCAACCTCCCGCAACGATTGGTTTCCCTTGATGGTGTGAACGAACCGCCTACGCCGCTGAAAACTCATCACCATCAGCAATCTCGATAACAATAGGTGACTTGGTGAGAAAAGGTTCGATGTTGCATTTCTACCGTAAGTGTCGGCCAATACTATCACCACCAACATCCTCTCCAAGGGAAGAATCTGCAACAACGGACCAACGATGGGAGACGACATGGAAGCTAGGCGCACCCGACCCCTTAGACGGAGAGGCAGCTTCGACTCTCACTGGAGCAAGTAGCGCCTCCACCAGGGGAACCTCGTCACCTACAACAACCACAACGCAAGACCCGCTTCAAAATAAAACATGAAGAAAAAAGAAGGAGAAACATAACGAAAAGCAAAGAGGGGGGGGGGGGGGGAAGGAAGGTAACACTTACCACCATTACTCACAAAAAACTGAGGCATCTTCCCACGTGAACACCAAGCAGCGCTCATCCCTGTTGGAACCTGAAAGTGAACCTCTACCAATCTCTATCTTTTGAACGATCCGAAGTCAGTCAGTTCTGAAGTGAATGGTGTTCCGGAGTCAGCTTGTGTTCAGGAGTCAAATTGGTGTTCGGAATAAAGAAAATGTTCAAGTGGTAATGTTCCGAGATGGTGTATGTCCGAATCAGTTTATCCGTCTGTATTAATTACTTTTGTCATTTAGTTTGATGTAACACATCATAAGACTTAATCTCTTTTGTCAACTTAGATAATCAGAGTGTCAGGAGTAACTCTATTATCCGGACCTCTGTATGATTTTTCTTAGTACGATGTAACTTGTTCTCCTATTTAAGGAGCATTCAATGACAAAAAAATGACGGGTTGTTCCAAAAAAGATAGATATTCTCACATTTAATTCACTTACACCTTTCTCTCAAATCATTATTTCAAACATTCCTTGTGTTCATTTATTGTCTTTACTTTGATCATATTCATAGTTTCATATTTAATACTTGAAGTACTTTGTTGATTCTCATATTCAGTCTTGATTGGTCTTGCCAGACTTGACTGGAACTATTAATCAGAAGCAGACATTGATCTTAATCATTAACTCAAGGTTTGAGTTTTCGAACCTTGTACATGCGCAATCAGATCCTTGTTCTCACAATTGGTATCAGAGCTTGAGTGGTTGTTCTTTGAATCCATAAGAACATGTTATAGTTGATTCGAGATTACCTTGGTATTTCGATCACATCTGTGTTCAGGATAAAAGTTCTTCTATATACCACTCTTGCTCAAGATATATTAACTTCAATGGCTGCTTCTAATTCTCAACAAATGTACCCAATGCAAATAGAAAATATCGTGGGTTGCCTTACACGTGCCCGATTGCTAGTTGTTGAAGAGTACGATCACTGGAAATTCAGAATGGAAAGATTTTTACTTGGAAAAGAAAAAGGTGAATCTATCTGGAGATACGTTAAAGAAGGTCCTCATGTTCCAGTTCGAACCATTGTTAGAGATGCTGCTGCAACTCTCTTGGGACAGGATCAACAACGACAAGCACCTCTCACTGCTGATGATCTTGAAAAGCTGCATGCCGATCAAGTTGCCTTTTTCAGAAATGGTTTTTGGTGTTCCACCTTCTCTCTTTGAGCACATCAAACAGTGCAAGTCCGCAAAAGAGATTTGGGACACACTTGAAGATCTGTTTGAAGGGTTAGAGAACATGAAGGATGTTGGGTTTTGAGCACTATAACACTCCTATGGTGCACATGCAACCCTAAATGCTTTGGATATATGTTTTCTCTAATTATACATGTATTTTTCAATTTTTCCAAAGCATTCTCCTAACTAGCATACAAAGTGTCAAATGAACAACACAACTAGTTAGATGACTTACCTCTTAGAAGGACTTGTAGTTCTTGACCTTTGAAAGCTTGAGCACCCCAAGTGTGATGCCTCTAATGGTTCAAAAACACAAATATGCAGGAGGAGGCTTGAGAGAATAAGTTATTTGCACAAAATCAATATCACTCTCCAAGAATGTTGAGGCAACCGATTTTGTCTCTAGGGGGGTTTATTTATAGTGTGGCAAATGCTAGGGTTACACTTTGTAAACCCTAATGACCTTTCATATTACTTTGGATCCATGGGTTAACCTCCATGGACTATCCATGGATTATCTCATTAGTTTAGCCCATCCTAAATAACCATGGATCATTAGCCCACACTATTAGAATCATTGATTTACACAATCAATCACCATATATTTAATTAATCTCTTTTGATCACAAAATTAATTTCAAACTAATTCTTGATCAATACTAATTAAATAATATGATTTCATATTAATATATTATACTTGTAATATATTAATAAATCATAAATAACCTTATTCTCAAAAGTCCATCCTATCAAATTGCACTGGTGAAGGCAACCCAAAAGGACCATGCTACAAATGGGTCAAGTACATCCCAGTTATAGTTATGGGCTTAGACACCAAATCCAACAGTCTCCCACTTGGATTAGTCTAATAACTATAGCTGCCAATGTGACTTCAGGATCCGACTTAGCATTCGTAAGCTTTCAAAAGTCGCTGTCGAACTCTGACCTAGTCAATGACGCGTCCTTCAGATAAGGGATCATATACTCCTCTGTTCTCAAGATATCTATGCGGATAAATACATGGAACATAGTCATATTTATTGTCCTGCAGTTTGTTTCCCGATTTCCGATTCGTCTGAAATAGAACATAACTAAACACATCAATTTAGTTCTGACCGGGCCCGTCACATAGTCAAAACAGAATCATCGAGGGGCCCAAGATATTGCTTTTAATCCTCTTAGGATAAAAGGAACAGATAAACTTCGACATTATATGCTTGTGCTAACTACTCATCAAATCATGCACAACGACACGTTTTATAATATCAAGTTACTGATGCGTTTTCATGCCATAAATGCACAACCAACTCGTAGTCAACAACTCATATATCTTGGTTTGAAGATTATATGATATTATCATCTCACAATTACTCGTGATAAATTCCATGAAGTAATTCAGGTGAGCGCGGGTTGAATTCAATACACAAATCTTATTTCAGGAGCACTCATGAATGATGTAGCAAACTTTTGCTATGTATAACTCCTTAGACAATCTACAAGCCAACTCATGATAGTCTTATTTCATACTTACTTCCAATATATGATCGACTGTGGATAGTTTGAATAATTCTTATTATTCTGGAAGTCAAAACATGCAAAGTGAAACAATAGTAAATAATTGACACAAGACAGTAACTTTACTTATAAATAAAACTCCATTTATTTAATCATCAAAGGTCAATTACAATTTAGCTATTACAATTTTAGATTTATCAAATTACTAAAATTAATATCGTCCGTTAGCCAAATGCCTCTCTCATGCTGCAAGTGCTTAACCGTAGTCAGTCCCTTTGTAAGGGGATCTGCTGGGTTGTCTTCTGACGATATCCTATTCACCACGAGGTGTCCTTCTTCTATTTGATGTCTTATGAAGTGGTACTTTCTGTCAATATGCCTGGATCTACCATGATCTCTCGGTTCCTTGGTTAAGGCAACCACCCCTTCATTTTCGCAGAAAATTTTCACAGGCTCCTTTATGGATGGAATGACTCCAAGGTATCTGATGAAGTTTTTCAACCATATCGCCTCCTTCGCCAGTTCGCTTGCTGCCATGTACTCTGATTCGCACGTTGAATCAGCTACAGTCTCGTGCTTGGAACTTTTCCATGTTACTACTCCTCCATTCAGGGTAAACACCCAGCCCAAATGAGAGCGGAAATTATCTCTGTCGGTTTGAAAGCTGGCGTCACTATACCCTCTCACTCTCAAGTCATCACTCCCACCGAGGGTAAGGACCTAGTCCTTATTCCTCCGCAGGTAATTAAGAATGTTCTTAACTGCAGTCCAATGAGCTTTACCAAGATTCCCTTGATATCTGCTTACCATGCTCAAAGAAAAGGCCACATCAGGGAGAGTACAAGTCATAGCATACATGATCGACCCAATTGCGAAAGCATATGGTATATGACTCATCTTTGCTATCTCAGCCTCTGTACTCGGACTCTGAGTCTTACTCAGTTTGGTATTGTTTTGGATAGGTAAGTCACCATTCTTGGACTCCTCCATGCTGAAACGTTTCAACACCTTGTCCAAGTAGGTAGTTTGACTAAGTCCTATTAGTCTTTTACTCCGGTTTCTCAATATCCTTATCCCTATAATATAAGCAGCTTCTCCGAGGTCCTTCATAGCGAAACACTTCCCAAGCCAGGACTTAACCTCCTGCAATGTTGGGATGTTGTTTCCTATGAGCAGTATATCATCTACATATAATACCAGAAAGCTCACTATACTCCCACTAGCTTTGACATATACCCAAGACTCGTCCTCGCTTCTCGAAAATCCAAACTCTTTGACTATCTCATCAAAACAAAGATTCCATCTGCGAGATGCTTGTTTCAATCCATAAATGAATTTTTCAAGCTTACACACTCTATTTGGGTACTTTGCATTGACAAAACCCTCTGGATGACTCATGTAAACATCTTCAGCCAACTTTCCATTAAGGAAAGCGGTTTTGACATCCATTTGCCATATTTCATAATCATGAAATGCAGCTATGGCCAACATAACCCTTATAGATTTAATCTTCGCTACTAGTGAGAAGGTCTCTGTAGCATCACAGGATCAGGTATATCTCTATGGCCCTTCATCTTTCCTTAAGTTGTCAAATGTGGTCCTTGAGAAGTTCATGAGATAATCGAGTACACTGGGCGTACGTGAGAGTACGCTGCACGTACTCGTGAGCGTGTTCTTGAAGCGGAGGTCATCCAGTACGCTGGGCGTACCAAAGGGTACGCTAGGCGTACTAGGTTCTGGATGAAAACCCTAATTTAGGGGTGAGCCCTATTTAAAGAACATGATGGCCTCATTTCTGGCCACCATTCGCAGACACCAAACCCTCCTAACCCTAAATCTTCGTCCTTGTATCCGGAGAGTGCATCTAGGAGCTTGTGAGTGTATCCTTGTGTTCTTCAGGTGAAGAAAGAGCTTGGAGAAGAAGGAGTGAGAGCCCTAGGAGTTTGGATCTGAGCTTTGCTACGTGAGAAGCTTCACAAAAAGGTATAAAGCTTCATGCTTGCTGATTCTTTGGCTTGGTTCTTTCTTTTGGAGTATTTAGGGTTTTTAGTCCCAAAGGTTGAGACTTTATGAGTAAAGGAGATCCATAGACCTTGATCTACCCCTTTTCAGTGTGTATTGTGATATAGAGTCATAAAAATCCAATCTTGGATGTTAAGAATGAGCCGTGCATGAGTTAAGGACTTAATAAGGAAAGTGGATGGATGTTTTGAGTGTTGGTGACCCTTACAGCCATGCAAAGGCTTAAAGTCACCGACTTTATGGGTTAAGGGACTTTAGAGTGATCATATCTGCAA